ATACAACATTGCTCTGTTTGTGCCGGGGCACCGGATCTTTGGGGTGAACCAATCTTACACATTCTGAAAACAAGATTATTATTCTTACACAATCAGTTCTTGTTTAGTAAATCAGTCTCAAAACAAGATCAAAAAGACTTTTTGGCTGATATAAGATTTAAAAACATGGTAAGATGGACAGTTTTTGCAGTGTGACCCCAGTATTGGAATGAACAGAGGGGGGGCTTTTAGAACCAAATTCTTCTCCCGGTCGTARTGAGCTGTGAGACCTGACGGTTGTTCTAGTGGTGAGAACTGAGACAAGAAGAGCTGAGAGAATCCCCACCTGTTCGTGTTTAATGTGCTTGCCTGTACATCAGGGAACARTTTCACTAAAAACATTTCTCCAGCCGCTCCCCCCGCCCCCCCACAGCGGCGGTGGGTTTCGTTTTAGTCCTCTCGCTGCTCGTTCGGACGGTCTCAGCGGGGGGTCCATGCTGTCCTTTTCGCTGCTTCGGTGAGTCTGTTTCTGTTTTTACAGAAAACAGGTGGATCAAAATGTCCCAAAAAAAGAAAGAAAGAAAAAAAAAAGACACTTGGTCCCAAAGAACAGAAACTGAGATGACCTGAACGTAGTGGGTGCCGCTCCCTGAAGGCGGCAGGACCTCGCAGGGGCGGGTGGTCGGCCCTCCTGTCTTTAATGTGATTTCATTTGAACCAAGTGAAACAACTGAATGTGTGTGTTCTGTGAGTGTTTAGGTTTTATCTTTTCTCCACCACTACAAGTGTGCAGTTAGGTTCCAAACTGTGCACATGTGTGTGTGTGTTAGTCTACATAGTGTATGTGTGGCTGTGGGCAGCTGCCCTGTGTCCACAGAGGTGAGGTAGTGCCTGACACCATGGAGCAGTCTCCCCGCCCCATCCTTGGGTGTGTCCGTTTTGAGGTAAATGGTAGCCTTCTTGGCATATTCGCCTGCTTTCAGTGATGTCCATGGTTTAAAAATAATAAAAGAAAAAAATAAAAAAAGGCAAGTGTGTACGGAAGCCTGGAGGGGGCCACGCTTAGCGGAGCCCTAAGGAGAGGACTCGGTACAGAAACCCCGCAGGTTAGGGACAGAAACTGACACCGCCGTACGGTGTGCACAGTAAAATGAGGCATTCATGTTACTCTGAGGTGAACGTGTGTGTTTTTGTGTGATATATGTGTGTGTGTCACACATGCTCTCTTGCCGTTTGTTGCTTTTCAAACCTCTAAGAAGCGAAGGTGAAGATTTACTCTTACATCCTACAGTATGTCCCTTTTCCACTAGTGCKKCTTAGTGTAGTGTCGGTACGGTTCGGTACGGTTCCAAGCCCCTTCCATTAGGCCAGATTCATGGAACCGGACCTTTTTTAGTACCTGCCTCATTGTGGTTCCAAGCGGCCCCAGCTGACAACAAAATGTGACATCAGAACACCGTTCGTCACTGATTAGCTAGGGGGTGGAGTCACTGGTTGCGTCTGAGCTGCCTTTACAAC